TGCAAGTGGGAGCCAGCAGCCAGGACCAGCTCTGCATTTGGTTTCCTCAACTGCATTTGGGGCAGGTCCCTTCAACAGCTTTTTAAGGGGGTGACACGGGGAGCTGCGAGCCACCCCTCAAGCTGGAGGCAGCAGGAGGGCAGTGGGGAAGCTGGGTCAGAGCCATCCTGCAAATGCGGGCTGGGACAGGCATTTTGGCATCTTCCTCAGCACACACAGGGACCGCTTCATCTCATCTTGCTAAAAAGGAGCAGCTCCTTCTGACAGAAATTCTGATTAAAGCTGAGCAATGAGAGGTTAGAAAGCACGGAGAAATAAATCAGACCTTCGGCATCGCTGCTTGTTCTCATATCCGGCCTCAGGCCCATCCTGCTCTGAGAAGTCACCTTGGGTGAACACTCACAGCAGGGAGGGCACGGCCTGCACACACACTTTGAGGCTTCACACAAGCACCCCAGGTTCCCCAGAATGAACCCAAACTGGTTTGCAGCCCCAGGGTGGGGGAAGCACATAGAGGGAAGAATTCAATCTGCAAACACGACCTCCTCTGCAGAAACCACTGCCCAGGAATATAATCACAGAAAGGTTTGGGTTAGAAGGGACCTTAAAGATCATCTGGTCCAACCCCTTGCCATGGGCAGGGACACCTCCCACCAGCCCAGGTTGCCCAAAGCCCTGTCCAACCTGGCCTTGAACACTTCCAGGGAGGGGACATCCACCACTTCCCTGGGTAACCTGTTCAGTGTTTCACCATCCCCACAGTAAAGGATTTCTTCCTAATAACCAGATGAAATCTACCCTCTGCCAGTTTAAAACCATTCCCCCTTGTTCTCTCACTACCTGCCCTTGTAAAAAAGAGGCTCTCCTTCTCCAGCTTTCCTGTAGGACCCCTTCAGGTACTGGAAGGTCACAGTAAGGCCCCCCTGGAGCTTTCTCTTCTCCAGGCTGAACAGCCCCAACTCTCTCAGCTGGTCCATGACCCCAGACAAGCAATGGTGAGCTGTTGCACAGAAGCCAAGTATTTTAGGAACTGAGGGTCCCCAAGGCACCACACACCAAAGGCAAAGCAATCGACTCCCTCCTCTGCCCCACGAGGGAAGCCAAGCTCTCCCCACACAATCCCAGGGAGCTGAATCACAGCCAGCCCGGGGTGGGCCAGGCACATCACCACTTCTTCCTACATCACTGCTATTCTCGAGAATACATTTCTCAGAGAGAAAAATGCCCTCACAGCGTTGCACAAGCCCAGGCACCACCGGGTCTTCCCGATGCCACGAAACCTCCACAAACCGGGGAGGGGAGGACGCCAAGCGCAGGCAGATCCGAAAGGCGGGCAGGGAAGGCAGTCGCATCCCCTCCTCTCCGCAGTGAGCACACACCACACGACAACCGGTTATTATATCATGCTTTTAATACAAACTTAAAAAAATCTGGAACAATAGAAACTGTACAGATTTGATCAACCTTTTTTTTTTTTGTCTTTTTTTTTTGTTTTGTTTTTAACTAAATCTCTAGACACACCAATGTCCCGTTCCAAAATATTGCACAACATTCTGAATACAAAAACTCTGATTGTATTCCTCCTTCGCTAAAGAAAAAGAAAAAAGAAGGAAAAAAAAAAGAAAAAAAAGGAAGACAGCAGCAAACCCCCAATCCCACCCC